ACCAACAGGAAATCCAGGCATGTCTCATAAGTCCTGCCTTTACTCAAAGCTTTAACTGAATTAAAAAGAACAAGTTACCAGCAACAAAACTATGAATGCAAGAGTGGTGTGTTTTTACATTCACTTACCATGTGAAATTCTTGTAGAATGAACCCCAGGTCCTTTGGATTTTTAGATAAGTGCATTTTTATAAGCAAACATATCCTTCTAGAGAAGGTTGCTGCTGCTAAGTCGCTTCAGTCGTGTCCGACTCTGTGCGACCCCATAGACGGCAGCCCACCAGGCTCCCCTGTCCCTGGGATTCTCCAGACAAGAACACTGGAGTGAGTTGCCATTTCCTTCTCCAATGCGTGAAAGTGAAGAGTGAAAGTGAAGTCTCCCAGTAATGTCCGACCCTTAGCGACCCCATGGACCGCAGCCTACCAGGCTCCTGCGTCCATGGGATTTTCCAGGCAAGAGCACTGGAGTGGGGTGCCATTGCCTTCTCCGTCCAGAGAAGGCAATACCATCCAAATTGTGTTCTTCAAGATGACTTATCCTGTTTTTCTTTTGGCTCATTCAACTGTCCCAGTTTTTTCCCATTTCAAAGCACATTTGTTCCTGTGGATATGCTGTTGGCATTAGTGATTGAACAAATGCAATAAAAACATTAGCTGATTGTTGAGTGGTTTTGATGTGAAATGGATAGAATGATAGGTGAAATAGAAGATATTGACATCTAATAGGAAAAAATTTTACTTCAGCATTGCAAATAACTACCCCATCCCATGACCTGCCCCTCACAAATGACTTACTCTTTAGAAACTGACAGAAAATAAAATATCGGTATTTTTCTCAAATAACTATCACACTTTTTATAAGCTCTTTGAGAAGTGGTTAATTGACTAAAAGCCATGTTTCAAGTTCCTTCCAGAACTTGAAAATGTGAATAAAAAATTCATTTGCAATCGATTTTCCGACCTGGATGCACACAGCTGCACATTATGAACGCCTGGCTCACTTCTGGGCGGGATGCTCTCCCAGGCCGTCAGCCGCTTCCCTGGGCCCTCTGACTGCGGAGGCTGCCCGGAACCGCGTGGGGAAGGGTCTCTGCAGGCTGGCCCTTCCCTCCAGTCGTCCCGCCCCCAGTGCCCAGGGGACCCTTGCTCACAAGGACTTGCTGGATGGACCAGGTGTGCATAGGCGTGCGTGTTGGAGGCACACGGACTTTCGCTCCTTCCGCACGAGGCCAGTGGGGGCAGGTGAAGTGCTAGGGGAGACGGTTACCCTGCAAGTGGACCCTGGTCCCCAAACGCAGAGCCGGTGAGGCCAGACCCACCCAGAAATGCAGGCAGACGCGGCGAGACCGAAACGCTGCCGCCTGCGCAGTTCGCCTGGTGTGACCAGCTCATACTGCAGATGGGGCGCCCCGCAGGGCTCACCCACAGCTCTGTTTCACTCACACTCACACTTTGACTCACTTGCACACAGTCGCACACTCACACGCACGTTGGGTCCTAAGTCTCAACTACTCCTCAGCAACAACCGTGCTCATCCTCAATGAGCCATGTTTCCCCATCCATAGGGTCACTTTTGAATCGTCCTTCAGAGGCGAAACTTTCAATTTCGTAACAGTGGCAAGTGGCGATTCCCCCGATTGACTAGTGTATGGAACCGGGAGTTTGTCCGTAAACAAGTAAAGGTCACACGTAGATTCTCACCAGCTGTCGCTGCGATGCTGTGAGGACTGGATGCCACAGTATTTGTGTGGGAGGGCGTCAGAACCCAGTGTCCCCAGTGGTACTAAGAGCAGAAGCAGCACTCAATGCAATGCTGTCCTGACACTGACATTCTTTTTTGAGCGAATTTCTGCTCAGTGTTCGTCGGACTTTTAGAAACCACTGTAAGAGAACATAGTAAGTTTAGCCCTCTATCTTGTTTTTAAAATGAGAGGAATTGAACAGCTTGCCTGCAGGCACTTAGAGCCCTGATCAGCCCTCCCAGCTCCACCTGCGAGTGCTCCCTGCTCGGCTCCTAAAGGAGCCGGCGCGGTTATCTGTCAGGATTAACCCCTCCTTACCACGACGCAACTCTGAACAGAAGTCCGAATGGGACGCTGAGTGGGGGACGGGGTCCTCGCTGGACCCCCACAGAGCGTCCGGGGGCACACACACCCCACCAGGGGCTGACGAGCTGTTTAAGTCTCCGCATCTTCCAGAATGTCTGGATGCCAGACGAAGCAGCCAGGACAGGGAGGTGTCTTTATTCTGAGATCCCCAGTCCCTGTCATTTCTGTCAGAAAGTGAAAAGTTAGTCGCTCAGTCGTGTCTGACCCTTCGCGACCCCATGGGCTGTAGCCCGCCAGGCTCCTCTGTCCGTGGGATTCTCCAGGCAAGGACACTGGAGTGGGTCACCATGCCTCCTCCAGGGGATCTTCCCGCATTGCAGGTGATTCTTTACCGTCTGGGCCACCAGGGAAGCCCCTGTAGCCAGGTGAAACCTAGAATATTTTTAAAATGCTAATTCCTTTTGTCACCTTCAAGTACTGAAAAATGAGACTATTTCTCTCTTGATGCCAAAGTGCTTTTCACTCAGTAGCCCTGCATGCAGCCTGGCCTGGAGGCCCCGGGTGGGGCGGAGTCCTGCCTTGCTGCCCTGGGACACGGCGGGGCTGGGGGGCACTGATTGTCCGCTCTACCAACCACTGCGCCCCGGAAAGCTCACTGAATCTGAGCCCCTGCCTTTTCCTAGTGGTTTTAAAAAGGTGGGTTAATTGGATCCGATTTGACTCAGCCTTGAGTGCTCCCCCCACACCCAGGGCCTCCCCTCCTGCCGTCTGCTGCTGCATCTTTTCTTTGTCACAACTACAGAGATGTCATGAGGATGATCCCAGGGGCCCGAGGCACCCTGGAGCCCAAGACTCGGACAGTCCATGGCCCTGAAAGCCATGGAAACAGAAGCTTTAACTTGGAAAGTGAGAGGCTTATCTGTTGGAAATTAGTAGCCGCGCTCTTTATTGGAGCTGGTGATGGAAGGTCCACAATTTCAAAAAGTCAGTCATAGAAATATTCAATGTGCTATGTGCTCATTCGAGTCCAACTCTTTGTGACCCCACGGACTGTAACCCGCTAGGCTCTTCTGTCCATGGGATTCTCCAGGCAAGGATACTGGAGTGGGTTGCCATTCCCTCTTCCAGGTGATCTTCCCGACCCAGGAATTGAACCCAAGTCTCCTGTGTCTCCTGCATTAGAGGCGGATTCTTACCCACTGAGTCATCAGGGAAGTCAAGAAACACTCAACACAAAACCAAAATAGTTGAGAAATAGCTGCGTCCTCACCATATGAGATACTAGAAACCAATGCTTTCATCAGAGTTTAATGCAGATTTTACAAATCTGATTTAATTTTGAAAAGTGAAGACATTTGGGCCAGGTACCCATTAGCACTGAACTGTATGGTCACTCTGGTTAGTAGTCAAAACAGACATAGCTTAAGGCCAGCTGAATGTATAACTAAAATTATACATAAATCATATTGGTTCACACTGCTTCATCGTTTCCCATTAACTTACACTGTACTTTCGGGGATGTTACTACACATTCATGAACTTTCACCTCAATATACTTTTGAAGAAATCAACATCTGTAACTCCTGCATAATTTCTAAGGATACACATGCAGCTTACAAATACCTTTCTAATAAAGCTAAGAGGAAAATATCTTAAACTGATTTATATTTGTTTAAATTATAGCTAGGCCAATTGCTGTCTCTTATTCCTTGACATGAATCTTTAGCATTAAGAACAACAGGGGGCAAATAGTAGGCCTGCAGTTTGTATTTAAAGTGAAGATATAGGAATGAGTGAGTAAACACATAATAGGTGAGATCAGAGGTTAGAAACAAAATATGAATCTGGAGATTTTAAGACATACTGAATTGTACACTGTACCTGGCACTCCACCAGAAGGTGATCTGTGCTTGGTATCCTGCCTCAGAAGGGAAGGGGTAACTTAAACAAATTATGGAATATGCAAATAAGCATGGATAAATGTTAGATGAGCAGTTAGTAAGTCATGGTGTGATTTTGTGCATTTACTTTTGTTGTCTCACACCTAGAAATAGGTGTTTGGTCAAGATACACTGACACATAGACAATTGTCAGATGCCACTAATTTTCTAAATTATGTGCAATTTTTCAGTTGACAGTTTTGAAAATAATTTATTAGATCCATTTTTAATCAAATACAACCTAGATTATCTCACGCACAGGAAGGTAATTCTAACACATCGAACCAAGCACGGTGCGCCTGTTACGTGGAGCTGTAACACACTCGCGTGTGTGTGCCCGTATGCACAACTGTGATGTGGACGTGATCAAGTGTGTGTCAGCCAGGCATTCACGTAACTTACCGTCACTTTAGTCTTAAGTGGAAACAATTGCCTTGGGTGATTACACATCTTTACAAAAATCACCTTTCGCCTTCTGGTACATTTAGAACAGGGTCCTTCACTCTGAGCTGTCGAATACCTAGAAGCTTTTTCAAAAATTCTAAAATATTAGAGCTGAAAAAAACTTTCCAAAAAATGTCCGTTTTACAGATAGGAAACTGATGTTCAAAAGGACTTGCTCAAAAAAAAATTTTTTTTAATCCATTTAATCGCCCTCCTCTCAGGAGGGATCCGTGACTCCAGACTGCCCTAGATGGACCACCAGTCGTCTCAGGGCTGCGTGAGCCCCTCCAGGAGCCTCGGGCCACTGACACGGCTTCTCATCCTGGCCGCATCAGATCCACAGCTGCAGACGCAGCTGCCCACTGCGTCTCCTCAGGCCGTCTGCACCGCGAACGGGAGCTCTGGGCTGGCCAGTCTGGACCCTTGGTTGTCTTGGCAGTGTTAAGCCAGCCTCTGAAGGGTGTTGCTGGTGATTAAATGGAATCTTTCCTGTACATTACACTCTTAATTTGCATCCCTGATATACGAACACAGTCAGCTCGTATCCGACCGCTGCTTTCTGTCATGCGATGTTAGCAGCGCCGTTTAATAAGCTGATGCAGTTCACAGACGCGTTCTTAGTAGACCCTCTTAGCAGCGTGTTCGGCCAGCTGGCAGGTAGCTTCTGGCCTTTCCAACCGAATTTCTGACCGCTTCCTGGCGACGCAGAGGGGAGCTCGCCTGCGTGTGGGTTCCCAGCACGCCCCCCCCTCCGGGTCCCCGTCTCACCTGCTTGTGGCCTGACCACCCCTGCTCAGCGGGAACCACTCACCCTTCAAGAGCAAGCCCCCGCGGGCTGACTCAGCCCTTCCTCGGGGAGCGGGGTGCTGGCTTCCTCAGCGGCCTTCCCAGGGCTCTGCCGGGAGCCGCGCGGGCGGCCGTGTGCGCCTCTCCTCTGGGTGGCCTTGTGGGGGAGAGGGGACGGCCAGTGACCCCCCCCCCCTCGCAGCAGCAGGGCCGACACGGAGGCCACCATGGAACCCAGAGGCCCCCCCACCTCCCGGTCTACGGTCAGGAAGGCTGACCTCCGTGATCAGCAATGCCCGACCGTGGCCCCTGACCCGGGGCCGGAAGATGGACCTCCGAAAGCAGCCGCAGCAGTCTGGCGAGAAGCTGCATTTTCAGATAGGCCAGCACTTTTGGTGGGCTGTGAGAAATCACCCGGGGGGGCTCACATGTACCTGCTCCCCCAACCCCTCCCAATGCTTTCCTCCCAGCCCCTCCGGCCACCCCCTCCACCAGGGCAGGTGGGATGCGGGGTCCGAGATCAGCACGGCCCCCAGAAACCCACCCAACCCTCCTCTGACCTGGTCAGGTAAGCCGCAGAGGACACAGACGTGATCTGACTCTCACCCACAGGGAGCCTGCAGAAAGGCTGGTTCAGACTGACAGAGGCCATGTGTGGCGGGGATGGACACTGGGACTGGCCTGGTTTTGTTCTATCCACGGAACTGGAAATCAGATGTTAAACCCTAATGCAGAACGCAGCTCACCGCGGTGCCCGGTGAGGTCTGGGCACTGCCCCTGTCTTAAAGCTCCAGGTGTGAGAAGACACGCCCCTCAACCGCAGCCGGCTTCCCCATCTCTCTCTGAGGCTCTGCCAGTCTTTGTCCTAATCAGGCATGTAATTGATTGGTTTGGATTTTTTTTTTGCTTCTTGTATCTTGCTCTGAATATCAGGTTTGAATATAATTGCCATAGGTCACACTGCCTTTTTAAAAAACCTATCCTGTATGCAGGTTTGGGAGCTGGGGTGACAGGAATGTTCTATGTAAATGTATGTAAATGGATGCTAATGCCCCGTGGCAGCCGCAGGTGAGTCAGGTGTCTGTCACGGCCTCACAGGTCAGCCCACCCAGAGCCCCCAGAGCTGCCAGCTCAGACGGCTGCTGCATATTTATGTACCCGTTGAAAACAATCCGATAGCTGTTTTCAAGAGATCTCAAAATTCCCCCAGTCTGTTCCCCTTGATGAGAAAAATCATGCTGCTGATCTTCCAAGTTATCTATGCCTTCTTTTATGTAGAAAGCAGACTGGATGTCTCTTACATGTGCTGAGTTTTAAGGTGGTTTCAATTCAGTAGATACCACAGGCACTTTTCAGTGTGAACACTGCTCTGGGTAAATGCGATGTGGCTCACGTTTCAGGATCCCACAGTTCAGTAGGCGGCACTTCCGTGGGGTCAGACTCAGCCCTCAGATGGGGGGTGTCCCACGTTCATGTTGGTTTTGGGGTGGACACCCCAGGACTCTGAGCAGAAGGGGCTTCTCAGCTAGACTCTGCTAAGCCTCAACTGAGAGAGCCGGTGAAACCCCCTGTCCCATCTCACTTCATCCTGCGTGTCACCTCACTTCCAGCCATCTTCTAGGTGGCGTTTCTGCATAAGATTTGAAAATGTTTTCCTGTTGTGAAAACAGAAAAGCACTGAGGATGGCTGAGACTCGGGGGTGGCCCAGGGCTGAGACAGTGCAGCTCAGAACCCAGAATGCGGGGAGAAGGGATGTGTTAGGAGCAGGGGGAGGTCAAAGGGGAACTGGAGAGCCATCTCAGAGCTGAGATGGAAAGACTTCAAAACCTCACAGCTGACTGAAAACTCCAAGGGGCGTGGAGAGAGTGAGTGGTGGTTTTCTGCTCAAGGAAAGTGACTGAGAAGGTCAGGATGGTGTGGACAAACCTGGGCGCTAAGTCTGAGGAGCCCCTAGATTTCTGAGTTGAGGGATGGAGCAGACACTTGAAATTCAGGAGAAACATGATGGAAAAACAGGCTTGGAGGTAAAACTCTGTGTTGCTTAATTAGAGGTAAAAGTTAAATTCATGCAGTGAAAGAAATTGCCAAGGATGAGATGAGAGGCTCAGGAACAGAATCTTGGGGGTGTCTCAATTCGGGGATAGAAAGCACAGCTTGGAAATTAGGCAGTGAGTTGCATCAGCCGCAGAAAGAAGGGGCCCCTAGGCCAGTAAGAGGACCCATGTGTCCGCTGCTGCCTGAGAAAGACTCGGGGTTTGGTGGACTGGAGAAAACACCTCAGTGAGAGCAGACGGGAGACACAATATGTTAATGATGTGTCTGCAGTCAGGATCAAAAATTTCAGAATTATTTGAAATTGGCATTTGTTTTGAGGCAAGTATTTTTAAATCAATGTAAAATATCTTCTCAGTAGAGAGTCCAAGTTTGCCAGATATAAGGAAAGCAAGTTGGCAAGAAAGCGTTTGCCTTGAATTTTTGTTTTAATTGAGAGACTTTAAAATTAGGTGGTTTCGAAGATTCCTAAGGCAGCCAATCATGTTTAATATTATCAGAGCTTCACGTTTCTCTTCAAAGGCTGGTCTCACCTCAGGACACATATCCCGTGTTGACTTTAAGGGCTGTGGTTGAAAGCGCGGGTTGATTGTGAGTCTGGACGCCAGTCCGTGTCGCAGACCAGAGGGTCCGGGAACCCCCAGGAGGAGCGCTCACTGGGAGCTTTCTCAGCCCGCTCCCCGCCCCGCCTTCGGACCGGTCTCGGCTCTGCACTCTGAAAGAAAACCTTGTGTCTTCAGGGACAAGACCCCGACTGCTGGCGCTTCCCCAGATGGTGAAGGGGTGAGGGTCTCCTCTCCCCCAGGTCCTCTGAGCCGGGGAGGGGGGGGTTCACACACGGGCCCGCAGGGGTGGAAACAGAACACCGTCCACACAGGTCCGCGTAGAAGCCCCCAGACTCGGAACAGAAGCAGACCGCGGGTGTGGGGAACCAATAGGCGGGACCCAGGCCGCCCCGGGGCCGACGCCGTTTCTTTTGTTGGCGATCCGTGCAGGCCGAGAACCTGACGGGCGCTCCGCACACGCGGGCGCGGTCCAGCCTCTCCCAGCGACTCGCGCCTGCACAGAGCTCGCCCGGGCCGCATAAATGCCTCAGGCCCCGGCCCCGGCGCCCCTGCCAGGCCCCTGAGACCCTTCACCCCACCACCCCTGGGGACCTGCACCCAAGCACCTTCTCTCCACTCCGTGACCCGGCTCTGACCATCCGGGGTTCACTGCGCAAGCCACAACTGCTGGACAGAACTGAATCCCCCTTCGGGTCATGCAGAAGGCTCAGACTGACAGGAGCTGTGGGAGAGAAAGATTAAAAAATGATATTCCGAGATGCACTCCTTGCAGGTCGCATCCCACCATCCCACTGAGACAGCCGGACAGTTTCTGGGGCCTGATCTGAGGGTTAAAGGGCAATCTGAAATTTGCCTAAAAATGCCCTTCAGCCTGGAAGGTGGAACCAAGGTCACGGGCCTCACGGTTGGATGTGACTGTGACCTTTGACCTTTAGCTTCATCAAAATGAACAGCCCCCAAAGGCGGTCTTCGGTGGTGGCTTAGAAGTAAGAGCGGGGAAGGCAGTGAGGCGGTCAGGTGGGGTGGGTGGAGCCACCGTCTCTGATCCCAGTGTTGGAAACGCATTACCCCGGGAGCCACCGGGGCCGGAGCCTCCGAAGGGCGGGGCCTCCCGGGGGCGGGGCCTCCCGGGGCCGGACCTCTCAGGGGCGGGGCTACTGGGGGCGGGGCTACTGGGGGCGGGGCATCCAAGGGCGGGGCCTCCCAGGGCGGGGCCTCCAAGGACGGGGCCTCCAAGGACGGGGCCTCCCGGGGCCCCAGCCTCCCAGGGGCAGAGCAAGGAGACCCGTGCCTATGCACGGCGGCTGGGGCGGCCCTGAGCCTGCCTAAACAACACAGCCAGTGTCTCACGGTTTGGAGGAGGGACTCGCACCCAGGACCCAAGCTCAGGCTTGGCTGGTTCCTTCCGAGGCCGTGGGGAGGGGGGTGCCCCAGGCCCTTCCCCCCGCCTCTGGGGCTTTGCTGACGACCTTCAGTGTGCTTGGCTTGTAGATGCATCACCAGAGCCCCGAGTAACCGTCACAAGACGCTCTCCCTGTCGGCATGGCTGTGTCCAGGTTCCCCTTTTTGTCAGAACACCTGTGACGCTGGAGTGGGCCCACCCTATCCTGTGTGCCCTCACCGCCACTTGATCTGCGGAGGCTCTGGTTACAGTCAAGGCCATGTTCCCAGGTCCGACGACTAGGACTTTCACCCACGACCTTGTGAGACCCAACTCAACCCTGGCAGTCAGGCTGAGTGAGACATTCACAGACCTCGATGCTGATGGTGGCGATTCCACAGCCCAGGAAGCCGATCCCACGTGGGTCTGGTGCTGGCATCTTAGCCGCCACCTCGTTGAATTTCCCACCACCTAGTGGGCAGGAATTGCACCCAAGTCAGGAAGAGAACCCTGGACTCGGAGTGGCAGGGTCCACAGACCTCAGGCCTGGTGGGCCGCTGATCAAGGCGGAACCCGAGGCTGCTTGACAAAACCCGACTAGCTTTCCCCGCTCGCTCTGGAAAGAGGATGGGTGAGAAACCGCACCGCCTTCCATGTTGCCAGGAATTAGGCTGCTCTCTCATATCCACCATCCCGGGGGACACCTGCCAGGAGGAGAAGGTGGGGAGTGGGCTGAAGGAGATGCGGCCTGTGTCAGCTGTGCTCGGGGGAGAGAACCCTCGGGGATGAGAAGCCTCAGGGGTGCTCCCACGGTGACTTCGCGCTGAGTCCTGGGGCCTCGGAGGGGAACACAGCTGCTGGTCTTCCTCCAGGACAGGGACTCGGCTCGACCCCTGGTGATGCCCACCTGCTCCTCAAAGGGGCAGGTGTCAGCTGCCGGGGGCCTGTGGACTCTTTATCAGCACCCTCTTGAGATCATTTAAGCAGGTAAATGCTGCGTAATTGCCATCTGCGTCCTGAAATCCACACCCAGACAGGTAGGGGCTGCCCTAACCCGAGGTAACCTGGCTGCTCAGTGTCTGAACGTCAGAGCTGAGACCGACTGGGGGGGAATCAGACACGTGGGATGCACACCACGGCTGGTCCTGTGTGGCTTCAAGTTTTTATATTGTATCAATAAGTAACTAAATAGTAACATGAGCATAGGTCCATCCTACCTTGTTATCCAATAGGCCTGCTTCTCACTTTTGACTCTCAAGTCATTTTCCTTCTCTTGTCTTTAAACTCTGTCTGCATGTAAGGCCCCCCCCCCACCCCCAGAGGTCGCCTGGCCATCAGCAGCTGCAGCAGCCGTCCTGTGAGGTCCCAGATCCCCTTGACTTCTGCAGAATCCTGTGCCTTGAGCCGTCGTCCTGCTGGGTGTCCCGAGGGGGCAGGCAGGCCCAGAGTGGGTGGCGAGCTTCCTCCTGCTCAGTTCCCATCCAGCTTGGGTTGGGCTTGACAGGAAGGAGGGGCAGTCCCCTGGTCTGTCCAAGGTCCCAGGGGGGCCTCCCGGCTGCCTCCCCGAGGGCCCTGCCCACCCCCGCCCCTCACTCCTTCCCCAGCTCTCTCCCCAACCTCCTCCCTGCTCCAACATCCTGCCCACCCAGGGTTTGATGGTCTATCCTGCCGGGGTGCCCAGAGCAGTGATGCTGGCGGGCTCTGTCCCTGCTGTTCCCAGCACCTGATGGACACCTGACGGGACACACTCCCCACACCTAGTTTCTGGGGCATCAAGTCACTTAATCCTCACCAGGCTCCAGCTGAACCACAGTAAGTGCGAACGCTTCTTTCTCAGTTGGTCTCATGGAAGGATGTGCTGTGCATCCGTATCACCACCCTCATGGCCATTTTGTAATTCTTCCTCTCGTCCGGCCTGGTTGGACTGCAGTGACCACACTGATGCTGAGGTCCCCACGGGGCTGCTCCAACCTTGTCTGGGTGGAGCCTCATCAGCAGAAGGGACTGAAGAGGCTCCTTCAAAGGACTGTTGAGAAGCAGGGGCGTTAAATGTCCTCGGTGCACTGTTTCCTATAAATGCCCAAAATATGAAAGCAGGGTTTGGTACCACTTCAAACAGATGAGAAAGCAAACTGTTACAGTACCAAGTGATAATGTATTTTTTGTCAAAAATAAGAAAAGGCACAAAGGAGAAGACATGAATGAGATGAGTGAATATATGATGTAAGTTCTGGGGTAAAAAGGATCATGAGATGCCGGGGGAGCACAGGGAGGACCCCTGAGCCCACCTGGCGGTGGGACTACCCTCGCTTCACTCGGGGCGGGGGTGGGGGGAACAGGGACTGCGTCTGAGAAGAGAGATGGTCCTCTTGCAAAGACAAACAATAACTAAAATAAATGCAAACATGTAACTGAGACAAAAGCCAATTTGGGCATATAAAATAGGACTCTTGAAATTTTAAAATGCAGCTGAAGAACTGAAAGATATATTTGGAAAAACTTTCTGAAAGATGGAGAAGAAAGATAAAGAATGAAAAAAAGAAAAAGAAAAAGCCAAGCATAAGAAGATCTACTTATCAGCAGGATGCATGCGTGCTACGTGCTAAGTCACTTCAGTCCTGTCCATTTCTTTGTGACCCCATGGACTGTAGCCCTCCAGGCTTCTCTGTCCATGGGATTTTCCAGGCAAGAGTACTGGAGGGGGTTGCTAAGCCCTCCTCCAGGGGATCTTCCCGACTCAGGGATCGAACCTGGGTCTCCTGCTTGCAGGTGAATTCTTTACCGCTGGGCTACTGGGAAAGCCCTGTTGGGAGGATACATGTGACAATTCAGTGCATTAGTAGGCATTTAAACACACACACACAGAGTAAAGAAAATAGAGAAGGAGAAGTTGCAAAAGAAGGAAGAAGCACTTTCTCAGCAGCCAGCGGGCTTCACGTCGTGTGTGTGAGTGCTGAGGAGAGGAGCAGAGAACAGGTTTCCTCCGTGACCCGCACGCCCAGAGTGAGGGCGAGGGCAAGAGCAGAATGCCTGCGCGGTGTCAGCGAGGTGGAGCAGAAGCCCAGGGAGCCGCCCTCACCCCGGCCTGGCATCCAGAGGGTGAGGGGCAGGCGGGGCCTTGAGAGCCCCTCTGGGAGCTGGGTCTCCTCCTTGCACGTGCTCAGTGCAGACACTTATGATGCATGTTTTTCAAAAGCAAAAATAATAATAATAATCACTCTGAGACTCTGATTTCCTAAAATAAATGTCCCAGAGGGAATGTCTGCCACTGACTTTTACACTTGATCTTGGGGAGAAGACCAAGAAGTGATGCCGTTGACTTTTAATGTTAAAGAAAAGAAAAAAAATCAAGCTTGGCTTCCGCAAAGAGGGAACCGGTTCGGTTCTGAATCCTGGTGGCACCTGGGAAGGACGCCTGACTGGGCCGTGACCACAGGGGTGGGTGTGGGTGAGTTCAGATTATGAGGAAGTGGTAGTGCTTTTGTGAGCCAAGTCCATCTGACTTCAAATCCTTTAACCATTAAACATTTACTGGTCACTCGTATAACACAGTCTGCTCAGTTGGGTTTGGAATTCCTCCTGCACAGGCCCACGGGAGCACTATCTTCCTTTTGCTGTCTCTCGCTTCCTTTTTCTTTTCTTTGTCAACAAAGCCGTGTTAACCAGCCCTGGGTGCAGCACTCAAGACAAAAACGGGCGATTTGGCTGCTCCAGAGTCTTGGGGACCCGAGGGCTGAGCCTTGAGATGGTGAAGCAGGAGAGTTTGGGGAACGGTATTCCAAAGAGGAGGTGGGGGGATGTTCTTTTGTTCTAAATGGCAAAGTCGAAAAGAAGGAAGACAAATCTCATCTAATTGCTTTCTCTTTCTGGGAATTTATGAGTTTAAGTCCTCTGCGGTCGGTGTCCTTGTGTTCTTGGGACACGCAGGTGCAGACTCTTAGTCCTTGTCCGTGTGATGAAATCAAGCCTTGGGAAGATTAAGTGTAAAAGGGGAGGATTTACGGCTCAGCCCTAAGGTCAACGGAGGCAGATGGGGCAACGGCTCCCAGGTAACAGGAAGGATGACTGAGTTCCAAGGACAGTGACCCAAACGCCTCTGACTCTTTCTTATTTGACTCAACTACCTGGTTGCCTATTGTTCAAACCAGGAATTGCAAAGCTAGTTGACGTCTCACTTGAGAATTTTGCTATTGTCTATGACAAACTGGTTGGTGTGCCGAGAGGTTTTCAGTCGCTATAAAACAGGAGTGAGCGGCAGTGAGCCCTTTGGAATGACGAACTAGTACAAGGGGGTGTCCACAACAGCTGCTGGGGTGAAACACTTTCCGGTGAAAGTCACCACCCAAAGGCTCATCTGGGACCCTGGGACTCAGATTCCGGTCCTGGTCTTGACTCTCCAGTTCTTCCCCTGGTGGGGAAGGGGGGTATGGTGTGAACACCCGGCAGCCCTGGGACAGTCCTTGCCTGGTGGGGGTGGGGGGATGGTGTGAACACCCGGCAGCCCTGGGACAGTCCTTGCCTGGTGGGGGAGGGGGGTGGGGTGGTGTGAACACCCGGCAACCTGGGACAGTCCTTGCCTGGTGGGGGAGAGGGGACGGTGTGAACACCCGGAAGCCCTGGGACAGTCCTTGCCTGGTGGCGTTGGGTGGGATGGTGTGAACACCCGGAAGCCCTGGGACAGTCCTTGCCTGGTGGGGGTGGGGGGTGGGATGGTGTGAACACCCGGCAGCCCGGGACAGTCCTTGCCTGGTGGGGGTGGGGGGATGGTGTGAACACCCGGCAGCCCTGGGACAGTCCTTGCCTGGTGGCGTTGGGTGGGACGGTGTGAACACCCGGAAGCCCTGGGACAGTCCTTGCCTGGTGGGGGTGGGGGGTGGGATGGTGTGAACACCCGGCAGCCCAGGACAGTCCTTGCCTGGTGGGGGTGGGAGGATGGTGTGAACACCCGGCAGCCCTGGGACAGTCCTTGCCTGGTGGCGTTGGGTGGGATGGTGTGAACACCCGGAAGCCCTGGGACAGTCCTTGCCTGGTGGGGGTGGGGGGTGGGATGGTGTGAACACCCGGCAGCCCGGGACAGTCCTTGCCTGGTGGGGGTGGGAGGATGGTGTGAACACCCGGCAGCCCGGGACAGTCCTTGCCTGGTGGCGTTGGGTGGGATGGTGTGAACACCCGGAAGCCCTGGGACAGTCCTTGCCTGGTGGCGTTGGGTGGGATGGTGTGAACACCCGGAAGCCCTGGGACAGTCCTTGCCTGGTGGCGTTGGGTGGGATGGTGTGAACACCCGGCAGCCCGGGACAGTCCTTGCCTGGTGGGGGTGGGAGGATGGTGTGAACACCCGGCAGCCCGGGACAGTCCTTGCCTGGTGGGGGTGGGGGGATGGTGTGAACACCCAGCAGCCTGGGACAGCCCTAGATCTTCAAGCAAGAGTGTGCAGATTCTCCATGGCTCTCCCAACAGCTAACTACAGAGCTTTGAGAAAGTGTCTCGACCTCTCTGAGTGTGGATTTCTTCACTCAGAAAGTTAAGGTCATTTGGTTGATGTGTAAATGATGTAATGGACAAAAAAGTGGTGCTGACTGTCGTCCCCTAGCTCCACAGCCTTGTCTGACAGCCCCGAGCCCCCTGGAGAAGCCACAGACTAAATTAACAGGAGTCACTCTGAGGGAATGACCCTGATGTGTGCCAGGGGCTGCTCCTGCCCAGACATGGAGAGGAGAATCCAGTAAGGACGCCTGGAGGGCTGGGTGCTGGTCCCCTGGACCAGGAGTTCTAGAACCTTCTCAGTTGGGCAGAATGTCCCCCAGCCTGTACAGATGACTTGGCTAGCAGGGAATAAGTCTTCCCAGACAGCCCAGGGGGACCCTGTCTCGGAGTCTAAGCAGCAGCCCCAAGTCCAGAAGGACGCTTCTCTCGGGGACCACATTGTCCATCGATAGGACAGCAGACACAGTCCCTGGGGAAGCTGGAGGGTCCGTGGTGACTGCAGGGGGCACATTCTCTCTTCACGTGCCCTCTTGGTGTCATCATGAAGTCACTAGGTGCTTTACTGTGTGGTCCCTGTTTTGTAGATGGAGAAATCGAGGCACAGAGAAATTAAGTGACTTCGCCACAGTCGCAGGCTGGGGAGGACCCGGACCAGAGCAGAGAGACCTGACTGTGGGCCTGTGTCCTGCCCACAGAGTCACGCTGCCTCCATTCCTGGGAGAGAAGACTTCCCGCAAGGTAACCCTGCTCCCCCGGCCACTACTCAAGGATGCCTACGTCCATCATCTCTGATTCTCACTGATCTTTCCTGGTAGATTTCTTACGAACCCAAACTTCCCATAGTCTGCATTGAGATGAGGAAGCAGCTTCGATCATGTGAAGCTGTGCGTGGAGCCAGGTCTCGGTTACCTAGGAGACGGAGACCGGGGACAGGGAAGCTGGCGGGAATGGCTCCACTCAGCTTGATCTGCAAGCTCGGTGATGCCAGAAGCGCCTCGTTTCTCTTCATTACACCTTCCCTGACTATCCACCGCCACACACCTCCTGCCGCCGCCTGCTGCCTCCTCCCCACCCGATGATGCTAGAGCAGTGAGTGGCCACAGGTTGGGGGCAGCAGATGAGAGGCAGGGCCAGATAATGGCAGATGACAAAGTGGCTCCTGCTTGTGAGTGGCTGGGGAGTGGAGGAGGGAGCTGGGAACTCGGGCTCTGGGTCAAGTCTGAGCTGCCCACCACGGAGGCCGAAGCCCCAGGGCCCCTCCTCCCCATCTTTGCAGAGGGAGAGCGTGACAGTGGGGAATAAGGGTTAGGAGGACAACGGTCCTCGCGCTCTTGGACCCCATGTCCAGCCCCTCCTGGGGACACGATTGTGTCCTGGAAGTTGCTCAGCCTCCAAAGCTTGACGGAATCCATGAATGTGCAGCTTTTTGGCACAGTTAATATTCCATTATCTTTAGTAAGGCTCAACCTGACCAGTGCACCTTTTACCGTGGGGATCAAATAATAAAATAAGTCCTGCTTCCAGATATAAAGTTCACAGTTTACAACACAATTCACTGAGTTGTTCTATGGCTTTCATTGTTTCAAAAGCAAATTTCTTACATTCTAGGGCTTTAAGTATAAAACCATTTAAAGCTCCCCCCAAAACCTCTCTTTATTTTTAAAACAAACATTGGGCTTAAAAATTTCTTAAATGTATGCTGAAATAGTTCCTTCATGGTGATTTTTCTAAACATGACTCATTAGAGAGAGAATCAGAAACCCAGGTGGTGGTACCGGTTGCCCCTTCCCCAAGCCCAGGGAGGTCCAGAGCCCGTAGGTCTGAAAGCCTGCATACCGCCACTCCCGCGGCACCAGTGAAGCTCCTCCAGCTCAGGTCTCAGACCCACCCGAAGGGCAAATTCAAAGCAGAGCTTGCCTGAACTTCCGGTGGAAAAGGCTGGGTGGCCATCAGCGGGGTGCGCACGGGGCCAGGGACCTGAATGGTCAGGGGCCTCGCCCACACTCCCGGTGTAAACCTGGGGAGTGCAAACACCCGCACACTTCATACCCTGAGCTGTGGGCACCTGGCTGAACCTGAGCCTCTCTGGAAGTTTCTGGACATCGAAACGTGCGTGAGAGGGGAGTGTGCCTCTGGTTCACTATTTCACTTGGCGGTCCCACTGGCCGAAGGAGGAGCCCCCCCCCCATCCCGGGCTTCACATCCATCCCCAGTGCTTCGCTAGGCGTGGTCTGCAAGTTATCTCATGCGACCTTCACAGAGAGGAGGCGTATTCTTTTCCGAGAATGAATGAAGTATTCATACATATATATACATATTCACTCTTCGAACTGAAGGATAGTTGGGGCTTTCCTGGTGGCTCAGACAGTAAAGAATCCGCCTGCGATGCAGGAGATTCAAGTTCAATCCCTGGGTCGGGAAGTTCCCCTGGAGAAGGGAAAGGCTACCCACCCCAGTACTCTTGCCTGAAGAATCCCATGCACAGAGGGGCCTGGGGCACACAGTCTGTGGGGTCACGAGGAGTCAGACGCGACTAGGCAACTAACCTTTCATAGTTAATTTACAGTATTGTGTTAGGCATGTACAGAAAAGTGATTCAGTTACACAATACGTATGTGTTCTTTTTGGATCCTATTCCCTTATACGGAATTCAGTTCCGTGTGCTATATAGTAGGTCCTCATGGGTTATCTGCTTTATATATAGTCATGAGTGTATGCTTACCCCAGTGTTAATGGAGGCCTGTTTCTCAGACAGCAAAGCACACTTCAGAGCCAGGAACTCAAACGGGGCTGGCCCTGGACTAAGCAGAGTGGCCCACACAGGATCTGGCTGGGATGGAACCCTCCCACAACAAGGGGCGCATGTCAGTGGGGGGCTGATCTTCATCAATTGAGGGGTTAGTTGCAGGATTAACCATCCACCTAGAAGAAAATAAGTTTATCCCCAATATATATGAAAAAGGATTAAAACCTAAATGTAAAACATAGAACAATTCTTCGGGAGCCATTCAAGCAACTAGCAAGTGAGCCAAGGTTTTCGACTCCATGCTCACAGACTGATGGCCTCCACATCCCGTGATGACAAGTCCCCCACTCCAGGTGATAGCCCAGGCTTATTTCAGGTGCTCCAGGGGCATAAATGACAAGGGGGGAGTCTCGCCCTCCATGGGGTGACCGGCCATGCCCCTCTGAAGCTCTGTGAGGTCTGCACCCCCAGTAACCCCGAGCACCTAGGTCCCCTGAACTGCCCAGGGCCTTTGCACATCCTGTTCCCTCTGCCTGAAACATCTGCCCCAGCCCTTTTTTTAACCCGAAACCTGAAGTTTTCCTTTAAAACTCAGCACATATATCAAACACTAAATGAGCTTGTGCTTTTTATTATATGTATTTTTACTACTCTGCACACAGAGCGACCAGCAGGCATTTGTTGGTCGGTTGGTATGAAGGCTCAGGCCAGAGATGCCCCTGTTCTCCCAGGACTCCCTGCAGGGTCTCGACCTGCTGGAGCTTTGCTCCAAGAGCAGGTCCACCAGGTCTTTCTGTAACGCCAGCTAGCAGGGTCACAGGAGTCCAGCTAGTCTTCTCCCAGATTCTGACGTTTCTTGTCATAAATTGTGGAGGAGATGAGCTCTGCATACATGGTATCTCTTATTTTATTTTAGTTTTTTAAAAAATTTTGTTGGCGTACAGATGAGTTACTTGTATAATTTCCTGTATTAATTCTTGTATTAATTTCTGTTGGTGGTGGTTTAGTCACTAAGTCATGTCTGACTCTTGCAACCCCATGGACTGTAGCCCACCAGGCTCCTCTGTCCATGGGATTCTCCAGGCAAGAATACTGGAGTGGGTTGCCATTTCCTCCTCCAGGGGATCTTCCCAACCCAGGAATCGAACCCGGGCCTCCTGCATTGCAGGCAGATTCTTTACCGACTGAGCTACGAGGGAAGCCCAATTAATTTCTGCTATACAGCAAAATGACTTGGTTATAGATATAGATAAATAGATAACAGATTATTTTTCACATTGCTTCCCATTATGGTTTATCACAGGATATTGAACAGTTTCCTGTGCTATCCAATAGGACCTTGTTGTCCATCTATGCCATACATTAGTATAACAGTTTGCATCTACTAATCCCAAACTCCCAGTCCTTCCTTCCCCCACCCCCCTGCACACATGAGATTTTACCATGTCCCCGTCTTCCGCCTAGAATGCAGCTCTGGCCACACTGGTACGTGTGTGTGTACTCAGTCACTTTGGTCATGTCCAACTCTTTGTGACACCACGGACTGTATCCCACCTGACTTCTCTGTCTATGGGATTTTCCAGGCAAGAATACTGGAATGGGTTGCCATTCCCTTCTCCAGGGGATCTTCCGGACCCAGGGGTTGAAGCCCCATCTCCTGCTGGACAGGGTGACAAATGATCCAGGCCAGAGTGGGATCTGGCGAGAGGAGCTGTCATCTTTCCTGCTCCTCTCTTGTTGACCCTTCTGATGCACTGAGTGGAGTTCTGCAATGAGCAGTTTTGCTGTGTTTAAATTACTTGCATTCACCCGTCCAGCAGTGTGTTCTTGACTCAAGGAGGAAGTGTAGACAGTGGCAGTTTTCAGGGCCCTGCACCAAAGCTGCCACACAGATGATCTTGGGCAAGTCCCAGGTAGAGGAAGCAGAGAATAGATGCCTCCCTTACAGAGCCGTGTGAGGATTGTGCAAGGTATTAGATGAAGACACCCTGCAACCTCCAAGTGTAAGTCCTGCCATGACCACCAGGAGGGGCCGTGACCCTGGAAAGTGTCCTGATGACTCAGACCAGTTCAGTTTCAGTAGCTCAGTCATGTCCAACTCTCTGCAAACCCATGAACCCCAGCATGCCAGGCCTCCCTGTCCATCACCAACTCCCAGAGTTTACTCAAACTCATGTCCATTGAGTAGGTGATGCCATCCAACCATATCATCCTCTGTCGTCCCCTTCTCCTCCTGCCCGCAATCCTTCCCAGCATTCGGGGTCTTCTCAAATGAGTCAGCACTTCACATCAGGTGGCCAAAGTATTGGAGTTTCAGCTTCAACATCAGTCCTTCCAAAGATCACCCAGCACTGATCTCCCTTAGGATGCCCTGGTTGGATCTCCTTGCAGTGCAAGGGACTCTCAAGAGTCTTCTCCAACACCACAGTTCAAAAGCATCAACTCTTCGGCACTCAGCTTTCTTTACAGTCCAACTCTCACATCCATACATGACCACTGGAAAAACCATAGCCTTGACTAGATGGACCTTTGTTGGCAAAGTAATGTCTCTGCTTTTTAATATGCTATCTAGGTTGGACATAACTTTCCTTCCAAGGAGTAAGTATCTTTTAATTTCATGGCTACAGTCACCATCTGCAGTGATTCAGACCAAGATGGCCGCAATCGCCCCCAGGGCTAGACCACAGTGAGAGTGGTCGCCACAAGAAAGCGTGTCCTTCTGACACCCCCCACTTCCCCTGTAGGTCCCTGACCAGGTTAAGCTTCAGCTACAAGGAGAAGGTGGACAATATATGTGCATTTCTTTCCTTCTTGCAAGCTGCACTGCTGTCTATTATATTCTTGGTACAAGTACAACTCAGGTTGACTGACCTGCATGTGTCCTCATCAAAGTCTTCCCCTGCAGGGCCCCTGCAGGACCAAGGTCTTGCTTGTTATTTTTAAACATCGCGTGTAGACTGCCTGGCCCTTCCCCAGCGGCTGACCCCCACTTCACAGAGGGACACTGTCCCTAAGTGCCCAGCAGGGAGCACGCTGCCTTCTCTCCCTGCAGATGGAGGTGGACGCCGAGGAGAAGCGGCATCGCACGCGGTCCAAAGGGGTCCGAGGTACGTCCGTGCTCCCGGTCCCCGGGGCCCTACTGGGGTCACCCCGTCCTGCAGAAGCCCTCAGTCTGGGCCTGGACACCGCCCTCTGGGTGGCTGTCTGTGGCGGGGCTGGGGGGGAGGCCTTGCCATGAAAGAGAAATGAGCGTCTCTTCTCCTCTCTCTGCAGTTCCTGTGGAGCCGGCCATCCAGGAGCTGTTCAGGTCAGTGGTCCGCACACGTGCCCCGTGGCGGTTCAGAGAACGCACCCCTTGATGGCGGGTTTTCGCGCTCCCCGCCCCCCAGTGCCCGGCCTTCCCTGCGTGTCCACAGCCCCCGGCCCCCGGCCCACCGTCCAGGGGCCACCCGAGTGACGCGTCCATTCCTCTTGCAGCTGTCCCACCCCCGGCTGTGATGGCAGCGGCCACGTCAGCGGAAAGTACGCGCGACACAGGAGGTAAGGCTGTGGTCTCTGCGCGGAGCCGCCTGACTCGCGGGCGCCACCTTGGGGACGCTCCCCTGCCCCTCTGGACCTGGGGCTCTTGGAGCGGCTCCGACGGCCGCCTGGGGCAGCGTTTGTCCACCCGTGGGGGACAGGCGGGGTCAGCGCGGCACCTCCCGCCGGTTCGCGGGGAGCCGGGCGTCTCATCCCCGCTTTCTCCTTCCGTAGCTCAGGAGGGTGACCCTCGGGGGGTGGAATGAAGTGCTGCCTTCCTGGTCCTGGTCTTTCTGCAGGAGCTCGACCCGTCCAGGGGGAGGAAGGCCAGGCCTGGTCCCAGGCGGCTGCGGGGGACGATCTGGGCTGGAGGGGCCAGGCCGGGCCAGGCTCCAGGGCTCAGGTGATGGTGCTCGTCAGCCCAGATCTCAGGCCTGCGGCAAGAGAGGGCGCGGGGACACCCGGAGCACAGGGCGGGGAGGGGCTTGGGGCGGGGTCGCACCCTTCACGCCAAGGCTGCAGAGCAGGCGCAGGTCGGCCCCGCAGGTTCTCGTGTCGTGGGCCCCCGCGGAGGCAGCGTCCCCTTTCTGGGGAAAGTCACGGCCCCGATGCATCAGAAGCGTGCACCGGACAGGGCTCGCCTGTGGCCGACTCCCGGTACCCAAGTTGTGAGCCTGTCGTCCGGCCGAGCAGCCTCCAGGGGCCGGGCCCAGGTACCCAGGACCAGGTGCAGAAGCAGGTGATCCAGCCCCCAGGCGACAGTCCTCGCGGCCTCGCTCGCTATTTCCTTTTCAGCTGAGCGCTAATTTACCGGTGAAATCAAGCAATTATGATGATTGTCCTTCAGCAAAATCAAGGGAAAATTACAAATTACTCCAAATCCTCCATGCTAGCGTTTAGGGAGGCAGGGAATTTTAATGGGCACCCAGGATGAAACGGTTCCAGACTGGAGGAACAGGCTGCCATGGTTAAGAGAATTTTGTGACTTAAATTATTATATTTAATGTATTATATTATTATCTTACTGTGCAAAATTATCAGATTATCTGATTTAAATACATGGTTTATTTCAAGTATTTGCTATTTGATGAAGGAGTATATATGTAAATTCTTTTTTAAAAATCCTGTTTTTAAAACCTGACTGGTTTATGTTTATGATGGAGAAAAACAAGTTAGCCAACTATGACTGAATTTTTTCCCCTAATCATCTCATGTGTGCATGCCCGCTAAGTCACTTCAGTCGTGTCCAACTCTTTGCAACCCTATGGACCATAGCCCACCAGGATCCTCTGTCCATGGGATTCTCTAGGCAACAATACTGGAGTGGGTTGCTGTGTTCTTCATGGGAACTTCCCGACCCAGGGATCGAACCTGGGTCTCTGACATCTCCTGTATTAGCCGGCGAGTTCTTTACCATGGCTCCACCTGGGAAGCCCAATCATCTCATGATTAATCAATAGTTAAAAGTGATTATATTGCTACTAGAAGGAATGATTGCTGCTGCTGCTGCTGCTGCTGCTAAGTCGCTTCAGTCATGTCTGACTCTGTTCGGCCCCATAGACGGCAGCCCACCAGGCTCCCCATCCCTAGGATTCTCCAGGCAAGAACTGGAGAATGGAGTGGGTTGCCATTTCCTTCTCCAGCGCATGAAAGTGAAAAGTGAAAGTGAAGTCGCTCAGTCATGTCCAACTCTTAGCGACCTCATGGACTGCAGCCTACCAGGCTCCTCCATCCATGGGATTTTCCAGGCAAGAGTACTGGAGTGGGGTGCCATTGCCTTCTCCAGAAGGAATGATTAAGTTTGGCTAAGAAGTTTTAATTAGATGTCAGCTAACCTTAATTAGGCATCATAACCACACTTTTGCGGAAAAGTCATGAATTTCCCAAAGAATTGGCTCAAGCCTTGTATTTCTACCCACAATTCACCCCATGGCTGTGGACCGATGGGTCCTGTGGGATGCGGGCTGTGGGTACACCCTCCCCGGGGTCCTCTTCCTGCTTAGAAAACGGCGCTTAGGCTGAGGCTGGGCCGACTGAAGACAGCCAGGCTCCACCCTCCTCTGAGACTCGATGCTGATGAGAGCACAGAACACCCTGAATTGCGCAGGAGCAAAGTGGATGAAAAGTAGATGCCATTTCCTCTTCTGAGGGATCTTCCCCACCCAGGGATCAAATGTTCATCTCTTGCATCTCTTGCATTGGCAGGCAGATTGTTTACCGTTAGCGCCACCTGTACTGGCTTCAGTTTCCTTGGTTTTAAACAAGAAAGTCACAGACTTTGTTGCATGCCTGCTAAGTCACTCAGTCGAATCCAACCCTCTGCAGCCCCAGGGACTGTAGCCCAGGAGGCTCCTCTGTCCATGGGGTACTGCAGGCAAGGAAATTGGAGTGGGCTGCCATTTCCTCCTCCAGGGGATCTTCCCAACCAGGGGATCAAACCCGAGTCTCTTACATCTACCTTCACTGGCAGGCATGTTCTTTACTACTAGGGCCGCCTGGGAAGTCCACAGACTTCGTTATGTAAAGCTAATTACCATTCAGAATGCCATGTCAGAGATAAGACTTCTCTCCCAGGAATCTCACTGACGTTATCAAGTCAGGCTTTCTAAGTTTTGTTTTTCAATGGCTGTATATTATCAGTAATTTTTAACTAAAAGGTGACCTTTGAATTTCTCAGACTGAGAAGGTTGCCCTTGTAGTAGGTAAGACTCTTGTACACATCAACATCTTTTGACTGTAGCTATTTCAAATCGGTGAGATTTCAATTATATCTGGCTTTGTTTCATTTTGAAAAGATAGTTTCTGAGCTATGACAGCTGCTCATGCACGTAAATACCTGCACCCCTCCCCCCAACACAGGTGTCACCTTCCCCCGCTGAGTCTTGGCGCACCTGAGACCTCTTCAGATAGGACCAGCATGGCAGCCTCAGTTTGGGTCTTGATGAAATTGCCCATCATTTCAGGTTTTTCCTTGGAGAAGGAAATGGTAACCCTCTACAGTGTTCTTGCCTGGAGAATCCCATGGACAGAGGAGCCTGGTGGGCTACAGTCCATGGGGTCACAGAGAGTCAGACACGACTGAGCGGGCAACACTCAGGTTTTTACTGGTGCACTTTTCAATGAATGTACTCCTGTTAAGGCTACAGTTTCATTTTATTCACTCATCATGCCAGTTTGTAGCTGAGTATAAAGGCATTCTTTTAGGATATTGATATCTAGCTATTTGAACGTGCAAAAATTAATTTGAGGCAAGTGAATAGAATCAACAATGTAAAAAATAAAATTTTTCGAAAATTTGATTTCAAGTAGTGAAATGAAGTCTACCAGGTAATCTTTATTTTAGCATAAGAAAATTCCTGAGAGAATCAAATACCGGTCAGAGTTTTAGCGTGCCATTTCACTGCTTTGGAGGGCCTGCATGGCGGTGGCCGTGTCCCTGGGAGGTGGTGGTGCCCCAATTGGTAGTCATGCCCCTGGGTGCTGGCTGTGTCCCTGGGAGGTGGTCATATCCCTGGGTGGTGGTCATGGCCCTAGTTGGTGGTCATGCTCCTGGGTGCTGGCTGTGTCCCTGGGAGGTGGCCCTGGGTGGTGACTGTGGCCCTGGGTGGAGGCCATGGCCCTGGGTGGTGGTCGTAGCCCCAGTTGGTGGCCATGTCCCTGGGAGGTGGCCCCAGTAAGTGGTCATGGCCCTGAGTGGTGGCTGTGGCCCTGGGCAGTATCTGTGGCCCTGGGCAGAGGCCGTGGCCCTGGGCAGTGGTCTTGCCACTTCAGTGGGGATTTGGTTTCCTGTGGAGCAGCTGAGATGGGTGGCTTTTTCCCTGGGTAAGGAAGGCAGAGCTGTGGGTTAGTAAGAAACCGAGAATAGAGGGCAGAAAAGGACCAACCACTGGGTGATGCTTGTGAAGTTCATCAATAGTCTGAATTCACAAGCAATTTACAATTTACGGTCCTGGGTAAAAAACGAAGGGGTGAGAGTTAAACTTCTGATTTTATTGGATGTTCTGCCTTATCCAGAAGCTATATCCTTGAACTACAGATAATCGACTCAGGGTCTTTGTTCACGTTAATCGTTCACAGTTTGAGCTGCCTGATAAGCATATACACAACTGCACAAAGGGTGAATCAGAAAGAGAAACTGGGGAAAACATAAGGGAAATGAGAACAGGTTTACCAAAAACTCCAGGCACATCAGGGGGTTGGGTGTAGTATCCTACGTGGTGCCGAGTCGCCGAGCAGGCGGGGTGGCAGAGAGGAAGAGCGGTGGCAGAGCCCCCGCGTCTGATGCAGGCACCGCACCCGTTCCTCCCCGGCCCCTCCTGGGCCTGAGGCCCATCTCTGGATCCCTGCACGCTGACCGCAGGGGTCCCAGCTTTGTTGACATTTTCATGCCCTGATGCATGTGGTCATGCCCTGATGCATGCCCTGATGCCCTGATGCATGCCCTGATGCATGTGGTCATGCCCTGATGCCCTGATGCCCTGATGCCCTGGTGGCTCAGACAGTAGAGAATCTGCCTGCAATGCGGGAGACCAGGTTCGATCCCTGGGTCGGGAAGATCCCTGGGAGAAGGAAACGGCAACCCACTCCAGTATTCTTACCTGGAGAATCCCATGGACAGAGGAGCCTGGCGGGCTCCAGGGGGTTGTAAAGTCAAACACAACTGACTGACTAACACTTTCACATGCACATGATCAGGACAAAACCACCAGCCTTTATCTTCCAAAACATTGTTAGTGTCCAGACACACGGCTCCGACTCTTCTAGGCTCTATATTATTAGCACGTAATTATGACAAAATCATTGTGGAATCTGCAATCAAGGCCAGAAGTAATTCTCTTTGATGAACTAAAATGCAGTCTCAGTCTCTGTCCATAGCAAATCCCATCTCTTCCTTTCCACTCACGTCTTACATCTCTTCCACACCTGACTCTGAACGCTCCACGGCCCTGAGCACACACCGCTTTTCTAAAATGGTATTTATGTGAGAGATGCTGAAGCTAGCATCTCAAACGTGGGGGCCA